TTCTCAACAGTGAGAAGATATCATCATATGGAAATATAAATTCTTATGTTAATTTGAGTCGCTGACCCAAGGTAAAATTTAAAATTTTCAGATATGCAAATCTAAGGACTGAAATTTGGGGGCTCATTTAGAACCCTCGCATATTAAAAGTTTTTATGTGACTTTCTTTTTATGAGGTCAAAACTTTGTACCCAAAATGCTTGTGAACCCAATAGAAACGCAAATTTCATCAAGCATCGAGAAAAGAAAAGCAGAAACTAAATTCCAAGGAGAAGTAATATCCAACATAGGAAAAAACATAACTCACAAATTGTAAATCAGATGAATCAGTTGAAACAGGAAGCTCCAGCAAAATCTTTAGTAAGTCAGATGGAAAAGAGCACTGCGAAAACAAAATCTCAGATTGACAGAAGAAAATTAAGAATTTAAAAAGAAGATCAGGAAATAGTTGAAGAGTGTCCAGCAAGCTACTAATGTGGCAGATTGGGCTCCAGCAAGCTACTACTGTGGTAGATAGGATATTATCAATGTTGAATGACGAAGATACCCTTGATGACAGGCAGGCATGTTGACCATGACTTTCCTGCTATGGTCAACATGCCTGCCTAGCACAACTGAAAGCAAGTTGGTAATTTTGCTTTCCAAGGTATATTTTGGGTGACTTAAGTTTCTATCACATGTATAGCCTATTACTCCTAATCAGTGTCGCTACCATTGCTTCCTCACACATTCGAGGCCTTCCATCTCCTTCAATTTGTTCGATTGATTTCAGGTATGAGTCTGATAAACACGTAGATATTTTTTTGATTCTGTTCGATTTTTGGTATTTAAATTGGCATCTTTCCTAAATTTTATCATTCATATTGATTATTAGTTCTATAGCCCTAAATTTTTGCTTCTTTTGGGACTGCGCTTGCGGCTACATTTAAATTCTTAATAGATAGATAGCTCCGACAATGGATATTTCAAATTAGCTAAAAAAACGATATGGCAGAACATGATTCAAGTTTTAATGTTTAAGAATTGTTTTAAACATCAAGTTACAAGTGTGAGGAAGCAATGGAAGCGACACTGATTAGGAGAAATAGGCTAGACAGGTTGAAGAAACTTAAGTCACCCACAATATACCTTAGAAAGCAAAATTACCAACTTGCCCTCAGTTGTGCCAGGCAGGCATGTTAACCATGAGCTTCCTGGTTATTCTCACTTATATATATGTAAACATAAATGGTAATTCAAAATTTAAAGAACTTTTCATATAGTAAATAAGAAGAATTCACTAATAATCAGAGTGTCATGCATGAATGTCCATGCCATCACAAGTTAAGAAACATGTGAAAGCAATATCACAACCTTAATTTGACTTCACAAATTTATTGAGAATCTTAAAGTGAAATATAGTTTCAAGCAACAAAAAAGTTTCCAAGAAATTGGTTTCTTGTCGACAATCTAGACAAAATTTTAATTAAGAATTTCATTAAATAAACATGAATATGTGACTACAACCCAAATTGTTACTACACATGAATTAACTTGAAATTTATAACAATTCTTAATCTTTAAATCTTGAATCTAGTTCTTCCATATCTATTTTTAGCTAATATGAAATATCCATCGTCGGAGCTATCTATCTATTAAGAATTTTACTGTAGCCGCAAGCACAGTCCCAAAAGAAGCATAAATTTAAGGCTATAGAATTAACAATCAATATGAATGATAAAAGTCAGGAAGCACAAACCAATTTAAATACCAAAAATCAATCAAAATCAAGAAAAACATCGACCTGTTTATAAGAGACTCATACCTTAAATCAATCAAACAAGTTGAAGGAGCTGGAAGGCCTAGAAACTGTGAGGAAGCAATGGAACATTTTGGATACATAGTTTTGGAAGTCATAGAAGAGATTTCTCATGTGAGGGTTCTAGACAAGCCCCAAAATTTCAGTTCTTAGATTTGCATACTTGAGAATTTAATTTTTTTAGTGCATAAATCTATAATAGTTTTATATTAATGAAAAGATAGAATAACTTATAATTTCTTCATGTATTTCTGCAATTTACTGCTAAGTTATATTTTACTTTAGTTTTCATGATTGAAGGTTAAACAAAAAATAAAGAGATAAAATATGAATTAACAAAATAATATTATTATTTTATGTGGATAACCAGTTCCATAGCATCTTATCCATTTTTTATGTTAGATTGGTTATTTCTTAAAATAATAATTTACCAATTTGTAAGTGTTTGAGATATGTTTTGAGTGAATTAGAATTTTTATTCTGTTCTAATATAGTCGTAAATTTTAGAGCCTTGTTGTGATTAACAATATCTCTTTCTACTATATACATTTAAGTGACTATATGTCTTGACACGATGAATATCCTTATTGATAATTTTTACAATTTTTCACAAGTGTTTTTCCTTCTTTCGTAGGCAAGAATAAGGATGTCCTTTGCCTCATTGCCTGTGAATGCAAACCTTAATGTCTTTGTTAAAGAAGTATATATACTTCTATATTTTAGTTGTTGATGTCTTAGATATATTTTTTCTTGATTATTGTAAGTGTTATATTTTTCTTTTTGAATGGCTCCATTACTAAATACTTGAAACAATCACATTTTGCTAATGAAGGATCCTTGCAAAAAGGAAAAAAACATAGGTAAAGTGGAAGAAACTAGTTCCAAGCATGCTAAATACCATAAAATGTATGTCGATATGTCTGCCAAAGAGCGCGTGAAAAGGGAGAGACAACAAGTAACCACCTTCATTTAAGCAAGTTCTATGGATCCTACTGAGCCAGCATCTATATTTCACGATAATGTTGTTATTGTCATCTCTTGCTCGATTTCCAAAATAGCTTAGAATTATACCTATAAAATCTCGATGAATACAAGCAACTCTCCAATATACTATTTTTACACCATCAGTTTCATCATGAATCAAGGTGATTTATCCTAAATTTATTATTGAAAAAACTGAGCCTATGAAGCCGTATTGATAATGTAAATGTTATTGATTTATTTTTGTTATGCCTTCCTCTTCTCATCTTCTCTAGAAACACTTTTCTCTTTCTGCATTTGTTACACCTGAATCGACTTCTATTTGAAAAAATATATTCTGTTAGCTTACATATAAACATAAAGCTAATTTAGAATGGTATCTTCAACTTGTTTATTGATAGATGAGATAAAAAATGTGAGTTGTGTTAGCTTATATAAAAAAAAATTGTCTACTTCAGCTAACAAAGGTCGAGCTAACTTTCTTTGTATTATTTCTATTTATTCCCCCGAAGATGTATATGCTAGATATTTGCATTTAAAAGTCCATGTCTCACTCCTCAACCCATTGTTTATGTCATTCCATAGTTAATCACATTTTCGTTCAATTCTTTATAATGTGGCTCCTTCCTTTCATCACGTATCTCCTCTATGAGTTTCTTAGAGAAGAAATAATCTTGTTTTGCTTTGCCCATTAAATAAAAGTAATCTACTTCTAATATTATGTACTATCTGCACAATTTCCATCATGCTGGTATTTTTTGGTATTACAATTCCTTAATTGATGTTGCATTCAATATTCATAATGTATAATATGCTAACCCTATTCTCTTATTATGCCATAATATAAGGTGATACATGTGGTAAATCTTTCCATTGGGAGGCAAGATGATTCTTCAAAGTTACAAAATGAGGTGGAACACCGAGAAGATTTGACCAATTACCCATAAGATGTCAAAGAGATCATATGAAGCCAACAAAATACTTTCCTTCATTAGATGATAACACCAGCAAAAAGAAAGCAACCAACCCACCATGCATAAGTTAACTCAATGTTACATAATCTAATTCCTCCAGGAGTTGATAGCAAAATTCCAATACATATTTTGTTGCGATGAACTTTATTTTGCCAATAAATTAAAATAAAGGTAATATGCAAATAAATTGAATTAGTGTGGCTAATTGATGAAGTCTATTCATATTATTCATTTTGGGTATTTAACAAGTAGAACTAATTGAGCAGCTTGTGTTGTCTTTCTGCATTTACCCGAATCAGTTGCGACTGCCGTGTTTTGCGAGTTCAAATTTGCTTTAAGGTGGAGGAAATTTTTGCAGCAGTCTTATGTTAAGACATCATTTAAGCTACCTAACGAATGACCAACATGATAAAATGAAATTGTGTAGCATAAGTGGCTATATTAGACCCGAAAGAAAAAATCAATCATTCTCCGTTCTATTTCTACAGTTTTGTATGAAAACAGGTTTTTCTACATTCATCTAAGTAGTCACAAGAGAAAAATTTTTTGGATAAATTTCTGTTTGAATATTTAAATATTGAAAAACTTGTAGAGAGCCCTTCTCTTTTAGAGTTCTCAGGAGCGGCTAAAGCATATTACTAGCCTAAAGCAAAAATTAATTGGGGCCTTAAACTTGAATTGTTAATAAGTTTTATACAATTGATTTGTTCTAGTTTTCAATTGCTTATATAGCCATTCTTATTGTAAATTATTTTTCATGAGATATAATATTCCAATTATGTCAAATTTGTTTTCATAATACCTTCATTTTCATGAAAAATTTACTTTTTCTACAAATAGTATTCAATATTTGTTAAAAAATAATAATTTATAACTTATTATTATTTAAAATGAAAGACCTTAAATTTGGGGGCCTGAGGCACATGTCTTTTTTTTTAACATAGCCGAGCCACCCCTGAGAGCTCTAAAAGCGGTAGAAATTTAAATTCTCGAATAATGCATGCATAAAAGCAGAAAAAGGAACACTTCCATATCAGCAGTTAAACTCAGTGATGTGCAAGTGAAACAATATTCATATTACATACCCACCAAATTGAGAATAAAATCCATCAGAACACATTAATGAGGATCTCATATTACCTGCATAAGTAGATGAAAGAGCAGAAAGCAAAACATTGAGAAAGAGTTGACCATGGACTGTTAATTTTTACATATGAATCAAAAGATTGAGTGCCCATAACAACATGTAACATATCAAAATCATATTAAATTTCATATTGAACACACTCGAGCTGTGCAAGCCTTAAGCAATTTGGATACACCTATATGTAAAGATTGGTTAAACTCTTGATAAACATACTATCTAAAGCAGGAAACACAACACAGTGAAAATTGATCAATTTAGCACCATTGATGCATTTTGATGAACATACTATCTAATGTTTGATATATGACATAAAACAGTGAAAATTGATCAATGTAGCACCATCGTTGAATTTTCGTACTTCTTGAATAGAGAATCAGATGAAAATGGAGCAGCCTATACTTGGTTTCCGATTGTAACTGAGCTCAGGTAAAGGACAAGAAAAAGTAGGAGTTCACAAATAGAAGCAAGCAAAATAATAAATAATTTGAAATCATGATATATAATTTTAGCTTCTGGGCTATGGAGGCATGTCAATCCTTTAGTTGCCTCGAGAATGACCTTCATTTGGAGATTCTATGGCAGTGGTTCGAAATAAGCACTTCCTGTTCAAGATGTACCAAAGATAAATTCACATTCAAATCAGATGAATCATACTGAAACAAGTTCATACTAAAATAAATTTCTTATACATGATTTAGAAAAATCAATTGGGTCCCAATGAATCTACATATCATTTTGTGAATCTGCCCTTGCGTCAAATAAGCAGTTATGTTTTTACACGAACTATACTTACTTTTGAATAGATGATTTTACAAATTTCCTCTTGGCATGAAATCGCACACCAAAATCCTAAGTTCATCTTCTAAGCTGGATCAGGTAAGTGATTTATAGAGTAAACAATTAATAAACTTATCAAGATGAAGAATTAAAGGAAACCTTGTCTTGACTCTTCACATTAGGACAATCTCTAACCTTATGACCCTATTTTCCACAACCATAGCAATCAAAGCTAAAAGTTGATAGTGCGATCAATCATGTGTAAGCCGACAAAGCAAATCCAAACTAACCTGACAGCTCAAATGAAGGTCAAAAAAAGGTTGCAGAACAACAACCTTAAAATTAGGAGAACAACTACTCTATGTGGTTAAAAGATGCATGCAAGAGTCACACTTAAAAATCTAAGGAGGATAAAAACTATACATTCAAAGGTAGATGAGTAATAACAAAATTTATAAACTAACATGTGGTAGCATGTTTTTTCCAAACAAGCAGTAGTTTCCCAAGGTAACAGTCACAACAAATTCTCTATTCTCTTTGGGTTTTGAGACATGTTAACAGTGTGCTCATCATGATGTTCTTTGATTTAGTTTTCCTATGTGAGCTCCGACAGTTTAATTCCTCTATTTGATATGCTAAAAGGGAAATGTTTATGGTATACATCGCCTCCCTTATGAAACAAGCGAAATAGATTTTTCATCTTTCGTCTTCCCGTCCTAGCTTGATGTATACTTTAAGTTGTACATATAAACCAAACCTGGATCTGTAGTCAGTTAATATGACTAATGTACTGAAAAATTGGTCTCTAAGCATAAATACTTAGAAATCATATAGTTGAGAACATTTAATATCAGGTTGTAATAGACTCCGCTAAAAAGCGATTAGTCAAGTTCCCAACCTGCATCAAATCATATATTACTTTGTTGAATGTATAATTTAATATCTATTCCTTCTCTTATAAAATAAGGTGGTCACTGCAACACAACATTTGTTCCCAACATTGACAAGATATTATCACACAAAAGCATAAATTCTTATGTTAATTTGACTCAACACAAAAAATTTAAATTCTCAGATATGCAAATCTAAGAATTGAAATTTGGGGGCTCGTATAGAACCCTCACTTGAGAAATCTCTTCTATGACTTCCAAATCTATGTATGAAAAATGTTTGCGAACCCAATAGAAACGTAAAACTCATCAAGCATCAGGAAAAGAAAAGCAGAAACTAAATCCCAAAGAGAAGTAATATCGAACAGAGGAAAAAACAGAACTCACAAATGGTAAATCAGATGGATCAATTGAAAACGGAAGCTCCAACAAAAATCTTCAGTAAGCCTTATCGGAAAGGAGACTGCGAAACCAAAATCTCATATCAAAAGAAGAAAATTACGAATTTTGGAATAAGTATAGGAAATAGCTGAAGAAGCTCCATTAAACCACTAACGTAGAAGATGGAAATAAAGGCACAAGTTTATCTTAAAATTAGCAATGTTGAATGAAGAATATACCCTTGCTGACAGGCAGTCATGTTGACCATGACCTGCCTACAATATATATGTGTGAATAAGAAGGCAGGTTATGTTTAACATGCTTGCCTGTCATCAAGTTATCTTCGTTATTCAACATTGCTTATATCTGATATGCCTCATTAGTAGCTTGTTGGAGCCCTATTTGCCACATTAGTAGTGTAACAACCCTAAAAATGTATAAGATAAGTAATGCTTAATGTGTCTAGAATGCCTAAAATTAAACCGGGTTCACATGGACTGATACGCGTAGAACCAGACCTCTAAACCCTTGCTACGGACAAGACAACTAACTTGGGCAGTTAGTTGAGCTAGAAAAGGTTGGGTGTAGCCATTAAGGGCTCTCTAATACGAAGATTTACTCGAATGAGTCTTTACTAGACTTAAAAAGGTTAAATCTTTGTTTGGAGGGTATAGGGGTAAAATGGTATTTTTCAAGGCTAAGGGTAGTATCGTAATTACACTAAATATATAATAAATTATTTGATTAATAAGTTGGAGGGGTATTTTGGGGAGAGAAGGCTGAAAATTGCCCCTTGAAGTGAAGTCTTGCTTCACACGGATTCGAACCTAGGTGGAAGCAACTAATTAAATTTGTTTTTAATTTAAGTTGGTAATGAAATTATTTATATTTATTATTTATTAGATGATTTAAAATTAAAGGAAATCATATTCTAAATAATTAAATAAATCCTTATTTGACTAAGTCCTATACTAGACTTCTAAGCCTAAGAAAACTCTTCTCTCCCACGCTCATCTCTCTCACTCTATATATCTCTCTCTCACGTCTCTATCACTCTCATTCACCATCTCTCTCTGCCAAATTAACTTTCAAGAACAAAAAAATAAGCCAAGTTCTTCACACTTAAAGAGCTGACACGAAATCACAAGAAAACAAACGTTAATGACACGTTAGGCAAAAGGAAGGTTGTCCGTCGAGTGGTGTTCACATTAAGAGGACTTGGATGTGATCTTGGGTGAAGTTTTTGGGAATCAAGTCAAGGTTTTAACATCAAAAGTTATGGGTTATCTTCTCTCTTGGTCGCTTTCCCAAGAGAACCCTTAAGGTTCATATTAGTCAGTCCAAAAACTAGGGTTGTTCTCCGTTGCATGTCCTCGTCACTAGCTCCCAATGATTCGTAGGTTGTGTATGCTTGCTGGTAGATTTAGGTGTATGTTCTATTTTGGTGATGAATATGTTTATGTTTGTGTATTTGAAATTGTATGAATGACAACCTATGTGTTTTCGCAACTATGTGCATGTGTGTGCAAGAATGTGACTATGACTAGGGTCTCGGCTTGAAGGTCCAAAATGTGTAACGTTATGGTTGTTATTTTACATGCATAAACATATGTAAATCATGATGTTCATAAAAGATGAAATGTGGATGATTTAGGTAACAATCTCTTGTCTAAATGAATCTATGAAAAATGCATCCCAAAATGGGTTAAATGGTCTACGAATTACTCTCTGTGTTCAAGTGAAAATATTGATGAAAGTGAGCTGAAATGTGACCAAATTTCCAGCAACTCACTTGTTTAGTTTAGGCTAAATGTAAATGAACAAATCTAGATAATTAATTGAGTGAAAAATGAGGTGAGGTCACTAGGATTTGAACTCGCGACCTCACCCGTATAATGTCTTAAAATCGCAAAAGGGAAATGGGGGTCAAGGGGATTCGACGTTGGGTGTGCTGACTGAAAAGTAAAGTACAAAACAAATTAATAAAAATAAATGTGAGGCATGGCAATCGAACCCACGACCTCTAGGCAGCGAATGAGAGTCAAAGAAAAATGAATCCACGACCTCTAGGCAGCATATCGAACCTACGACCTCCTAGGCAGATTTAAGGGGGGAAATTAAAAAGAAATTAAAGTGAGGCTGGGGGTTCAAACCCACAACCCCTCAGCCATGGGAGAGACACTTCAAAGAAAAAAATTAAAATAAAATGAGGTTGTGGGGGTTTGATCCCACATCCTCTCAATCCCATTGAGAGAAAAATAAAGAGAAAAACTAAGGGAAAATTAAAGTGAAGGTGTTGGGGCTCGATCTTGGGTCCCAACAATAAATGAAAAAATGTAAGTGTTGTCTAAGGGATTCAAAATTGGGTTCCCTTGACCAAATTCCATATTGATACATAAGCCATACGTGAATTAAATATTCAAGAATAATTCTGCCTACTTAGATCGAAATCGAGATCTTGGCAAACATAGAAGATGCATAAGTCTTGTACCACTTAATCTTAGGAAGATATGAATCACTTAAACAAACAATGAATGAAGCCTCATGGCTTGTATGTATAGTCCCATAAGTCTAGCATACGTTTAAAAATAAGTGAACCTAAATGTATGTAATGAAATGATGTAACCCTAGAAGGTTAAAGTAAGAGTGTAAAACACACTAAATGGACAAGTGCATTGTCACATGATGAAATGATGAAATGAACAATGAAATGATGAGATGAACAAAAAAATGATGAAATGAACAATGAAATGATGAAACCCTAGAAGGGTTAAGTAAGAGTGTGAAACACATCAAATGTCCAAGTGCATTGGCATATGTTGAAATGAACATTAACGTAAAAAGGGGTGAGTAATTATGAAGAACAAATGTTCTAATGTTAATGAATGTGATGACGACATAATATGAGGCTAACGAAAAAAATGGGAGCAATCTCAAATGAGCCTAAATTAATGTTATCAAAATGTACTTACCTATGAGAGTGTAAAGTTAATAAATAGGCCAGTCTCTATGAACACTTTAATGAAATTATTGAGATTAACGCGCTTAATACTAATGATGAGCTAAAAAATCATCTTTTCAGCTATGATGTCCTCATACTAGAAGTCAGCTTCCATGACATATGAGTTGAATGTAATGGAACTTTATACTGAGCACCAATAGACTAGCTATGAGCGGTGATGTCTTCTTTTGGGAAGGGCGGGGGTTCACGTAACTATCATGAGATGGGACTATCTTGCATGTCGGGTATGGGTCTCATTATATCTCCTAGTCTTCGAACCTATACTGCCAATATAGGGATCTGACGGGGTTCAATTTCCATGTACGCTAGCATGTTTTGGGTCACTTTGGCCGGTGATTCCACCTCTTTTCGGTGTGGGGGAGACACAGGATTTCATAATGCACACATAGTCTTTATCTATTAAAGTTAAAGTTCCCCATGAATGAATGAGTCCAGCCTCAAATTATGCACATAATGAAATGAATTATACCAAAGGTGTTAGGATAGGATAATCAAGCGGTGATCTAGACTTAAGTAACGAAACTAGGTCATTCTTGATCATTGCACAGCGGACCCGATGAAAGTCTTAAAATACATCCTAGGTATAGCTGGTGTTTACACTAGCCTATGAATGAAATGAAATGAAGTATGTATGAATGAATGAAACAAACTCTTTGTTTGCTAAAGAAGGCTCCCTAGTTGAGGTCCCATATGTTAAGCCCTCATTTTCGATATGTCTTGATGTCAAGTCCATGATTTCTAGTGTCGCATGTCATATGAACGAATAATATGAAAAATGTTATGTGCTATATGCAATATGTTATATGCTATGTGCTAGATGTTATGTGTTGTGTGCAATATAATAAGTATGATTATGCATGTTACTCTCAGGGCATGACTTTTCTAATACGAATTTGGAAAGTTCTCTCACTTTCCTAAATCAAATTTTGAAAGCTCACCAACTTTCCTAATCCCAATTTGGCAAATCCACTGACTTGAATTTCCATAATCATGTTGTTAGGAAAGAGCTATTCTTACTCATGCATGTCCTTGGAATGTTCTTGAATATACCCATACTTAGTACAAGTGTGTACTAACCCTATACAATTCTACAATTTTAGGTGAAGACACAGGTGGACGCTAGAGCTACATGTTGACTCTTAAACTATCCGGACATGGAGCATTCATCTGGACTTTGTAGGACCTCATGCTTTCGAGGATGCTTGCCCATTATATTCTAGCTTAGTTATATGATTGAGCTAGTGGAGTATGTTCCACTAGCGTTTCTTTCCATTTTTGTTCAGACATTGTATTGGTGCCATTTTAGCATGTATACATTTAATGTTATATTAAACTATGTCTTTCATTTGATGATCTTAGTGTTAATATGAATCTAATAGAATGGTTAGTATGCATGTTAAAAAACCAAAGGTTTCAAAATTTCTGCTAAAATTAACCTAGACAAAGTAAGAATGACGTAAGTAGGCTTGTCTGCGAACTCTGAGAGGTCAGCGATGCCGGTCTTGTCTGGGGTCTAGACTCCGATCGTGACAAGTAGCTTGCTGGATACTCTTCAGCTATTTCCTATTCTTCTTTCTAAATTCTTTATTTTCTTCTATCAATCTGAGATTTTGCTTTCGCAGTGCTCTTTTCCATCTAACTTACTAAAGATTTTGTTGGAGCTTCCTGTTTCAATTGATTCATCTGATTTACAATTTGTGAGTTATGTTTTTTCCGTTGTTCGATATTACTTCTCCTTGGAATTTAGTTTCTATTTTTTTCCTAATGCTTGATGAAATGTGCATTTCTATTGGGTTCACAAGCATTTTGGATACATGGTTTTGAAATCATTAAAAGAAAGTCACATAAAAGATTTTTCATATGCGAGGGTTCTAATTGAACCCCTAAATTATATCTGCAGCTGCAGCTTTTCCTGTGCATGATCGTCACGCTGCAAATGTACAAAGTTGGACTCTACTTCTCAAAATTCTCATCAAATGGAGTTTTCTATTGTTTTCTCAATAACAAGTAACATCAATAACCTTTTCTTGTTAACTTGGAATTTACATGTGTGATTGTAATGGAATAATAATAACTTTGTGTTTTGTTACTTCTGTTAGCCCATGAGCTCCATCATGCAGCTTTGTCCGGCACCTCCGACAAGCAAAATAACATAGTTACACCATTATATGTGTATGAAGTAGGTGAGTACCATCACAAACTATGTTTTTTCATTGTCACAACTATTATATGAAAGTAACTTATTCCTTTCTGTAATATTAGGTTCAACATCTGGCACATCTAACTCAAA